AGATAGAAGGTTCCTCTTACTCTTGGGAAACCCAGCCACCGAACCAACTTAGTCCTGTGGGGGCGCGGGGCATGAATCACGATGGGCCCTATTTTCTTCCTCTTCCTCCCTTCCTGCTGCGGTGGCCTGGCTCAGTTCCTGGAACACATGTCACCCCTCCTCCACCCAGCACCACGGCTTGCAACCCACTTCCTCCCCAGTTAGCCTAGTTAACTCCTGCCCATCACTCGGGTTTCAGCATAAATGCCACCAGCTCAGCGTGTTCCGCAACATCCTCAGTCTGCATTATCCATTGCAGGTGGTTTTAGATAAGTGTCTTTGGATGTGGGGAGAAAGTGTCTTGAGGGGCAGTGTGGCCCAATGGTAGGGGCATGGGCCCTGGAGCCAGAGTGCCTGGGCTCAGAACCTGGCATGACACTGACTCTCAGTATGACATTGCACAAGTTATTTCCCTGCTCCGTGCCACAGTTTCCCTGTCAGGACAAAGGGATATGAATAGGATCCATCATGGTGGGTTGTCGTGAGGATTGAATGAGTTAATACTGGCAAAGCCCTTACTGGCACCATGCCTGGCCCATAGTAAGGGCTAGCTAAGCATTTGTTACATAAAGAAAATGAGTTGTCCCCGAGCATTTTGCTCACTCCCCAGATGCTCGTATCTGCAATCCTTGTGAGGGCAGGGACAGAAGCCTAGCTCTGTACCCTGGTGCCAAGAAAGGTGCCCAACGCACAGTGGATTCTCAACTAATGGAGCTGGAATGGAACAATGAGGTGAAACAAACGACGTGGTGAAGAAGACTTGACATGCCACGGACGGTCTTGGAAGAAGCAGATACGAGAGGCAGGCCTGCACGCTGAACTCAACCCACACCTGTTAGATGACAGACCAGAAAGACAGGGCCTAAGGTCAGACCTTTTGGGTTTTAGTGAACTGCCTTCTGGGAAATCCTGAACACCACTGGGTAGATTCACTCAAAGTTTCCATCCAGATTTTCTGAAACAGCTCAGTCCTCAAGAAGAGAGCCGGCGTTGCACATAAATTAAACAACAGACAATAAAACTCAAGGAGTAATCTGGAATGGCTTGGAAATGACACTTTAAAATGGCCCCTTTAAGTATGGAGGGAATTAAGATATTTGATTAGCAGATAAATCTCCCAGAAAATAAATGAGAAAATACTCGGTTTTCTTGCTTCAATAGCACTTTTCGTAGAGCTATTAAATTACCAGTACTAAGTAGGAAAAAAGAGGTGTCATTAAAAAAATTGATTTAGGACAACTTGCTAAGAGATATTTTTACTCAATGAACATGGCATTATCGGAGTCAGCTGTGATCTTTAACTCCCCAGATTTACTTAAAAAATAGATGGAGAACTATCTTTCTACTTTGTATCTGTGGTTTATTTTTGGGAGTGGAGTCTGAATGCTGAACGGTGACATGGCAGTGAGAGACACAGAGAAGGAACAGAGGTTCTTCCTTTGCCCTGACTGCAGGCTCCCCTCCGACCCCCACCTGTGTCGCGTGTGTGTTTGTGTGTGTGTGTGTGTGTGTGTGTGTGTGTGTGTAGTGCTGCTGCTCCTGGAAAACCTCTGTCAGGTGCAAAATCCCCTTCTACCTTCAGAATCATAGGGGTCACTTTGTAAATTGCAGGGCCAATGTGTCAATTGCTTAGTCGCCAAACATCAGATCTGAGCCCCTGGGTTTTGGAAGGACTCTTAGACTAGCTCTCTTCAGCTGTCACTCTGCTGGTCTGCATTTGTAACTGTTGTTACTATTTCTTAATCCCTATAACTTCAGTAACCTGGTATTTGACAGAGGAAGTGTTATATCTCAGCTCTGCACGGTCAATACGATTTGCATATAATAATAATGCTAAAATGAATGAGAGATAATTTAAATATTTACTCCCATTTTGAAGAATTTAAGTTCGTTAGCTTTGAAGAATTTAGTTTGCTCTATATATTCATGTTGGAAAAACCATAGTTTAGGCTGGAAATCACATTCACTGCCTAGAGACCCACCCAGCCATCTGCTCAGTGAGGGAAGGGCTCCCCTAACATGTCCCTGACTGAGGTTATGCGGCTGGCCGGGGTCTGGGTCCCCGAAATCATCCACCCAATCTGTGCAAGCCTTGGAATGAGAAGTGAACTGCTCAAGGAGGCAGAGCCAGGCCTCAAAAACAGGTTTCCTGATGTCTAACCCTGGACCCTTTCAAAAGTCCCCAAGCCCAGGGTCAAAAGTCCCCAAGCCCAGGGTCAAAAGTCCCCAAGCCCAGAAAACCTCCACAAGGTTTTCTGCTTGCTATAGATGTTAACAGCGAAATGTTGGCTCCAAAATATAGGGTGTGTTAGTACTTCTCAGGGCATTGGAGGGGACATCCAGGGTCTTGTGGTCTCTGGCTGTCCCCAGGAACACCCCACTCAGTGTGCACAGCCCGAGCAGTGGAGGGGGCTGGTGCCCAGCACTGCAGCGAGTGACTCGAGTGCTTTTCATGGACAGTTTCTTACCTTTACAACAACCCGAGAGGGAGGTATTAATTGCCCATTTTAGGGCTGAAGCAATGAGGCCCAGAGAGGTTAGGTAAATTATTGAAGACTCAGGTCTGCCCAATGCCAAAGCCCGAGGAAGCTCTTTTGGCCACTCCATAGGAGTGGGCAACTGCGTGAATGCTTGACTGAACATGGAGAAGGATGGAGCATCAGCTGCAAAGGGTGGTGAGCTCAGTGGAAGCTTTCCCCTAGCTCATTTTACTAGGGTCGTTTTCAAAGGAGAGCATGCGCAATGCACAGACAACCAACCTCTAAAAGGGGCAGAAGAACCGGCTTCCGTTAGTCACCTCTAGGCTGGAAAATGGGTGGCTGGGGACAGGGCCGGGAGGGAGACTTTTTACCATATGCCACTTTGTACCTTTTATAATTTTATATATGTGAATGTATTACCTTATTAAAAATAAACAGAATTAAAATTTAATAAAGTGAAAAGAGGACAAAGATAGCGCATGCACTGGCTGGAGAATTTAGTCTGTACGAACAGAACACAGAACGCAATGGCACGTCACGTTCTGCTCTGATCCCCAAGCCCTCGTGCCCCGCTGCCCCCAGTCAGCCATTGCTCTTGTTCTAAAAACACTTTGTGCACAAATTAGCTTTGGAGAAGGGGTAAGATTTTGCTGGGCCAAAAGGAAGAAGGTGAGTGTTACAGGTGAAAGACAGATTCTTAATTTTTTTTTTTTTAATTTTTTTTTCTCTCTTCTTTAGAGACATCCAAGTTGTGTTATGATTCTTAATTTTTAAGCAACCATTAATTTGTGCTGACCACACACTGGATACTATGCAAGACATTCTTTCATTTGTTCGAGTAATATGTGCTGTTCGCCTACTGTGGGCCAAGATTGTCCTCGGAGCTTGGGTTACTTAGATTGTAGACACTTTCCCATTTTTCTGCCTCATTTTACAGAGAAACAAACTGAGGCTTAGGGAGGTTAAATGACTGGCTAGTGATCCGCCACGCTGGAGGTTTAATGCTGGTTTTCTGATCCTAATTATCGTTCTTTCCCTCACTAACGACCGGAGAGCAACGGTAGAGAAGGAGAAATGCACGAGGCACATTCGGGAGACAAAATATAGGTCAGTCTATAAAAGATGAATTGGGCACCAGACCTGAGGTCTATTCTAATTGTCCAAGCCTCATACCCTTGTAATAAAGCAATTCTGTAAGAAAAGATGACATTTCTGTGGCCTGAAATTTTACGCCTCATGCAAGCAGTATTTATTTTTTTCCTGCAAATTACAATCTGCATTGACATTATTAAGGAAATCACATGGACCCAGCAGTAAATGAAGAATCCAATTGATTATTTTTATTGCTGTAGAAGGCCTTTGTAGGCGGGCTAGGCAGAGACCCAATTTCATTTGCTTGTAATATTGCAAACGCTGCTAATTGCCTGTCTTTAGTAAAGGATAGAGACAAAGGAACAATCAAAGGTATTTATTAGAAATTATGCTTGGAAAAATTAGCTTCACATTTCAGGGTCTGCGTCTCAGTGCAGAACATCAGAACTCTGTGCATTAATAAATGACAGTCACGACATCACCTTTTCTACTGCGTGTACAGTTGTTTCCGACAATGTCGCTATAGTACTATTGAATTGATTATTTTCAGGCTGATTATTTTTTTCCTGCAGAGGTTCAGCTATCAGTAGATTGCCATTCAATTCAATTTAGTAGTTATGACAGTTGGAATAACTACATTGCATCTTAATGTGTGTGTCTCATGCATAAATCACATTGTTTGCCAAGCAATAATGAGCAGAGAAGCTGCTAGGAGACTAAAAATCAGTGCTGGGTAGAAGGCTGGGGCTTCTAGGTTGGAAAGTGGAAATGCATCGACCATCTGATAGTCCAATGGACCCAGGCTTCAATTCTGGGGTCCAGAGCCCATCAGGATGTGGACCACATGGTTGGTGCTTAATGCAGGTTTGTTGACATGATTATCTTTTTTAATGTTTATAAAAGTTGTCTTAACTCTTTAGTCTGATGGGCATTTTCTCATTCATTCATTCATTCATTCTTGATGGCTCAGTGCTGTAGGAGGTAAGAATAGCTATTGTCCACTGAACTATAGTCCTGTAGATGTTACAAAACAATTGCAAAGTAATTCTAGCAGTGCAAGTTGCCGTTGGGAGAGGCAGCAAGAGTTCAACTCTTGGCTCTGACATTTACCAACTATAGGACCTTAGGCAATTTGCATAATCTCCCTAAATCCTAATTTTCTCATCTGCGAAATGGGGATAAAGCACAGTGATACCTACATTATAGGGTTGTTAGAGGATTACGTGAGAGTGAGCTTATAAAGTGCCTGGCTCTCAGCTCAAGAAATGGGAGCTATTATGATTACTTATTATAATATTATAATATATAATAATATGTTATATATTATATATTATAATATATAATAATATATTATAATCCAGTTCAGTCATCATTTCTAGGTTGGAGGCCAGACGGGTGGGGATGGGGTTATCAGAGACGCCTTTAGCATGAGCCAGGCTTGGGTGCACTGAGCTGTGAGGAGCAGGTGGGCCTTTTAGGGGGCAGAAGCTGAAAGCCAGTGCCTGGGGCAGGTGGGTATGAGGTGAGTATGGGTTGCAGGTCCCTCTGGCTGGAGAGGACGGAAGTACATAGATCAGACCACAGAGGGACTTGTGGGCCACTGCAGGCTGCCACATAGCTTAAATTTTCCCTAAGAATGAGGCCAGTCCCGATAGGTCTAGAAGTGACATGCTAAAAATCAGTCACTTGAGCCTGGCCCCACTGAAGATCAAAGATCTTATCCTATAAACGAAATGCAGTCACTTCTCAGCCAGGCGATGACCTAAATTACAGCCAGCAGAAAACACAGGCATTTTCTAACGTTCACATCATCCGTCTCTAAGACTTCGTGGGAACTTCCAATGGAGGACAGTGAGGGTGAACGGTGACATGCCTACAAGTGCAAAGGGGGATGCACTAGCAACGATGTCCTCGTCCTTTTATTTTCCTCTGTGTTGAGTTTTGCACCCCTTAAGATGACACGGCGACTATTTCCCCCCAAATTATTACACTTCAAAGTCGCTTTGGCTGGTAGAATGTCTCTGAGCTCCACCCACATTTCCCCTCTCTCAGCCCTTTTGGGGTCTGTTTCCAGGAGTCCCATCCCCTGGGGCAGCCGCTCTGCAGAGCTGGGCTCCAGCCCGGGAACTGCAGCCGTCTCAGCTCTGCTTCCTCTCTCCCTCTCTCTTCGGCTGCAACAGCTCACGCAGCCTCAGAAGCACTCCACCCCATCCAAAGATACATCTTGGCAGAGAAAATCAAGACAGATTTTGTTTTAAAAGGTAGGCGATGGCAGAGCCACTTTCTTCCCTGGAAGAAAGTCTACAGCCAGGCAACCTGCTGGCTTCATCCTCCAATGCCTGTGGACGACGGTTGAAGGAGGAAAATGTCTTTAGAAGGAGACTGTGGCCGCCTGAAGGAGCTTGGAGAGAGGTCCCACTCAGCTCAGCAAACACCTACCGGATGGGAGCCCAGCCCGATGTTGCCGGGTGCAAGACCCCCCAGCGCCGAGCCTCTGGGACTGAGCTAGGTTGAGCCTGAACTGAGTCACGGGGCAGGGAGAGCCCGGGCACGGTGCAATCCGACAGAGACAGAAAGCCTGCGAGCTGGAGGTGGAACCCACTTCCCTCTGAGCTCACCGCGACACAGGCGGCAATCGTAGAGCATTTTACAGCCCCCAAGCATTGAGACACACGCTGTCCATTTGATTCTCACCGTAGCCCTGCGAGAAACGCGCTCTCAGGCTTGTTTCCGAGGTGAGAAAACAAGAGGCACGGAGAGGCTAACTGGCTTGCCCCAGGTGTCCCAGAGCCAGCACCTGGAGGAGCCGGGGCTGCCGAGCGTCCGACCGCACACCTTGGCTCCACGCCTCGACCGTCTGGGATGCAGCCAGCAGGCTGAGGCCCACGCTCGGGGGAATGACCCCAGGCATGAGCTGTGTGACCAGCTTAGCTCTGTGTGAGTCACTGAAACTGTTTCGGCTTCATTTTAACCCAGCTGCATGCGGGAGGGGACTGACTCCAGCTCTCACACCCTCCCAGAAGGAAGGCAGAACTACTTGGCATGCAGGAGAAATGAGGAGAAGCAGACTACACGCTTCCTGTGCATTCTGTCCCTCGGAGGATGGTATGTGCAATGTGATATTAGACTAAATGGGACAGGGAAGGAGGCCTACTAGTATGGTGTGTGTCTCCTGGATATCACATTAGGCTCTGCTTGAAGAACCTGGCCTGCTTTTGTCTCAGCTGGACTCTGGAGGACTCTGCTGTCCCAGAGACCCTGAGAACCTGGGTGCCAGATCAGATAGGTCTGGGCTGGAAGCCCAAGTCCTCTACTGCTGAGCTGAAGACCTTGAGCAGATCACTTAACTTAGCTGAGACTCAGTAGTTTTATCTGTAAAATGGGGACAGATAGGCATATCCTCTTCTCGACGTGGTTGTGAAGAGTGAGACAATGCATGGGACGTGGTTGGCATGCTGCCTGGTGTAAGAACCACCCCATAAATGACATGTCATTCTCATTGCTAACATTCATTAAGAGCTTACACTGCGGCAGGCCCCGTGCCACCCGCTTTCCATAGATTAACTCATTTGATCCTTTTAAATGACGAAATCTAGGCAAAGAGCATCACATAGCTCCTGACACATGTCAAGTGCTCAGAGTGGTGCCTGCTGTTCATGTAACGTCTGGCACCGTTGAGCCTGCCCAGCCCTGGGCCCATCCATGGGGACCAAATGCCAAACAGGGTCCCTCCATGCCTCCCTTTGTTGCAAGCCCGTTCATTGCTCAAGGCCTGGCTCAGGAAGCCCCCTCTTCACGGTTTGGTGGCTTGCTGGTGGAGATGTGTGAGCCAGAGGCTGCAGTGTAGATCTGGGAGTGCCCGAGTAGGGGCGAGTGGGGGAGTGGTTGTGGGGAACCAGAGGGGACAGTCACCTCCAGTGTGAGAACAGGAGGGTGAGAAAAGGTCTGCAGAGAAGATAATACCCAAGTTGGGTCTTGAAGGAAGAACAGGAGTTTGTCAGGCAGGGATGGGGAAAGAGGGTGTATCCAGGAAGGCATGGGTCATTGGAGACGGTCAGGGAGCAGGCAGGGGCAGGTGATGGAGGGCCTTGGTGGCCGGGCTGAGCTTGCATTTTCTTCGGAGGCATTGACAAGAGCTATTGACAGATTTTAAGCAGGGAAGAAACATGATTAAATTGGCTTCTGGGAGAGATCACTAGGATTGCAGTGAGGAGGAGGGACGGAACAGGGCAGCCGCCTTCAGGCCTAGGGCGAGAACACAGGCTGGCATCTGGAGAGGCGGTGACAATGGGGGGGGGGGCAAGGAGGGGACACATTTTAGGGACAGACAGGAGTCGGGTCTACTGGACTTGCTGAGGACTGCAGGGGGTGGGGAGGGAGAAATTTCCACTGCGGAAAGTCTGGCCTGGGGGGCGACGGCTGAGAAGGGGCCACTGGAGGTGGCATTTGAGAACTCATCAGCTTGCTCAGAAACTAGGTGGAGAGGTAGTCACTGGAGACGGGCTCTTCCTCTCTTTTGCCTGCTGGACGGAGGCGCTGAATCCGTGGGGACCTGGGAACAGCGTTCAGGAGACTCACTGGCTAGTGCTGTCTGCTTCAGCACAGGGGTGACTTGGACAAGCCCAGGGAGGCAGGGGGTGGGGGGCCGGAGTGGAGGAGCCTGTGTGCTGAGAGTGAGACACTATAGGGACAGGACTCGGCCTCACTTCTGACCAAGGGTGACAACGTGGGGCGGCATAACCTCGAGAGTGATGCTTTTCGGGGCCCCAGGAGCAAGATATTGACACAGGCCGGTAAGGCACCTGGCTGCCCAAGAACCAGACTGTCGGATCCAACCTCCGCAAGCCAGAAAAGACGCCCACACTGACCTTACCCTGACTTTTCCCTCGTTATAATCTCATTTTAAAAATCACACCCAGGGGTGGAGATTTAACACGCTAATGAGGCATGCCACGCGTGAATGAGGACCCCTGTGAAAGAACTACGCGGGTGCAAGAGAATTTCCACCGCTGCGTGCTCACCGGCCTCTCTTTTCCTACCTCAGCCTCTTTAAAACTCTCCTTGAGGCCTCTTTTCCTTTGTGCTGTCTCGCTTTGCTCAAGCCTGAGCCCCAATAACGCTGCTATTCGGCCTCTTGTTAATTTCTACCGCGCAGAGCCCAGGGTCTTGCGCCAATAACAAGAGGAGAGTTGAGGGCCCCGAGAAAGACAGAGAGAGCCATCGCCCTCACGGTGGTCCTGCGTGCCTCTGCGGAGGAGATCTCTTTGTGTTCCTGAATGCCAAACTGGATGTGGGCCCGGCATAAGGGAGACTTTGTTTCTCACCTAAAGACTGACATCAAGGGTGGTGGGTGCAGGGGAGAGACGCAGGTAAAACTCCCTCTGCTCCTGCACGGAGGATGCGCTCCCCACTGGTCAGGATGCACCTGATGGAACCGTCCCCTCTCTCTCCACCTAACGTCCCACGCTCCCTTTCCCAGTCCCCGGAATTTATTTCAGCAGAGGAGGGTCGGTTGCTTCATGTTTGATGTGGAAGGACTTTGATTCAAGAAGCTTAGACGTTACCTTCCCACAGTACATCGTTCGTGGGCGGAGAGACGTGTCTGATGTGGCTACAAAGTGTTTTAGCTGGCAATGAGTCATCAATTGAAAAGGTGGTGAGTTAACCAGGTTTGCTTCAACACAAGACAAGATAAAGAATGCAAAACAGCTGTAGCCTGCCAGCGACACTGGAGCCACCGGACCCGGCTCGTCCAGGCTGGGGACGGCCAGGACTCTTCACCTTACGAGAGGCGGCTTGGTACGCTGGAACGAGTGAGAGATTTGGGGTCAGGGAACCTGGGATGGAGCTCGGCCCCTTCCCAGCTGTGTGACCTTGGATAAGTCACTTAATCTCTAAGACCCACTTTCCTCCTTCAAAGTGTCGTTTAAAGGATTGCAGGAGATGCTGTCTGCAAAGCCCCTAACTGCCTGGCATGTAGTAAGTAGCAGGAAATTCTAGCCAAATCTATAGCTGAACCGGCTGATGCCAGAAAAATATTAACTGGAACAGTTTTCTTCTCCTCCTACCTCCCTGCTGCATCTTCGGCTGCTGTCCCCAGACGGTTCCCCTGGGGATCTGTCTGTGGGTTGTCACTTTGTCTGCTCGCCTTTCATCCTCCCAAGCCTCGTTATTTGCACAGGAAGTGGGTGGGTAATGGGCTGCTCTGTTGTTCCACTGGCCTCCCAGTGAGTCGTACTGTTTTGCTTCCCTCGCCATGGGGGCTTCTCACACCCTCTAATGACTGTTTTCCTTTCAGAAATGGCATATTTTTAGACAAAAGCATTTCCTGTGGCTCATCTCTGATTCCCTGGCAGATCTCTGATTTCTCATCAGGTTTCCCCGCCTCCCTCTGGCCACATACAACCGGCCCCAGCAGCACGAGCACAGGAAGTGCGGGAACCACAGGCCCCAGCGGCCTTCTCTGCTCTGAGTGCTCGTGGGCCAGGGCCAGGGCCAGGGCCAGGGCGAGGCCATCCCTGGTTGAGGCGTGGGGCGGGAGCAGCTGGGACTGCAGTGGCCGTCATATCTGCCTCCTCAGCTGTCCAGCTCCCCTCTGCCAACGTTAGAGGGTGGGGTGTTGGTGCTGCTGGTTTCAAAGTTGCCCACACCAGGCCCTTTTCTTAGTCAAAGCCAAGCTGAAATGACTCCCTTGCCCTCTTATGAACAGCTGTAGTCAGACATCCCTGGGGTTGAATCGCGGCTTTGCTGTTGGCCAGCTTGGTGAGTCACGTACATGCTCTAAGCCTCGATTTCTTTTTTTTGTAAAATGGGGATAATATTGTTAGGTAGATAGCAAGGGATTCTGGGTCTCCTAGGGATGAGAGTGGGTGCCTTGCCTTGGTGCTGCCTCGAGTAATTGCCCCGGCTGGGAAGAAGGACAAGGGCAGGCCCCAGGTCCCTGTCTTGGTGCTGCCCCACCTTAATCCTGTCCCTAGTGACTGCCACACCTGGGGGAGGAGGGAACGCCCTGTGAATCTGCCAATCAGAACTTAGTGCACCGACTGCAAAAGGATGCAAGGACCCTCTAGCCCATGGTCCAAGCGGCATAGGCACGATAGAGTCTGGAAGGTGACTTAAGACAACCTAGACTAATTGTCATTAGCTTACATCCATGGTAAGCTATGTTAAAATGTCATTAGCTTACATCTACGTTGTGGTTCACCCTTCCAATGGGCTCATGGGAGATATGCATGTATCGTAAGACTCAGATCATATCTCTGAACTGCCCATCAAAGTGGTTCCATGATGACATCTGAACCATGGGGAAGTCCCAATCCAGACACTATAAAACAAGGCCCAGACCATAACCAAGGTCTCTTTTGCTGTGACAAGGGGTCCTGTCGTCATTGGTGGCTTACGTATCTTTCTCTATAATCCTATCTTGCTCCCCCTCAATAAATTTCATCTCTGCTTGCCTTACTTTACTGTGTCTGGTTATTCTTTGGCCAAGATCACACCAAGAACCGAGAACACAGAAGGAGATCTTCAAACCTGACAACATTAGCAAACCTCACAAGGCTATTATAAAGACAACATGGAATACAGCATGTAAGTAAAGTTCTTAGCCCATTACCTGGCACCTGGTTGCTCTTACTATTTCTAATTTTAAATAATTATAATGATTTGATCATAATTGTACTTTAAATTTATAACATTTATAGTTCCATAGTATATAATTTAATTGTAATTATTTACGTATGTGTTTTCCCCCCTCCACAGACTGTGAGCCCCTCGAGGGAAGGGACTAGATCTTCTTCATCTTGAGTACAAAGAGCAGAGTGAGGGCCCAGTGTCTGAGGGGCTGAGGATGGTGGCCTGATACCTTTAGGGCTTCAAAAAGCTGGGCCCTCTGTCCTGCAGTGTGGAGCCCAAAAGGCATCCAGAGGAAGGAAAGGGAAGGTGCTGGGGAGGCCCTGACACCTGAGGACAGCTGTGAGCAGGTGAAGGAGAAGGAGGGAGAGGACCTCAAGGTGCCTGCCCTCTCTAAGCCTCTCTACACGGTGAAGACTGGACAGTCATGCACATCTGTTCGGTTCAATTCATCCATTCAATCGATTCACATTTTTGGAGCACTGACTCCAGAAGGTTCTTTTAGGCAAATCTCCATTCTCTATTCAGCCTTCCCCAGACCACTATGAAGTGTGCGGCACCCACACTGCCTGTCCCTACTCCCACAACCATGACAGCCATGGCTAATGGGTCAGAGTGTCTGTCACCTGGTGTCATCTCAGAGTCCTTCTCCATAAAGCAGCCATTCCTGATGAATGTGGTTCTGACTTGGCCTGAAAGCTACTTCCCATCTTTGGCCCAGACCTTAGATCACTGCACACGTCCTGAGGCCCCCATCAATTTCAGAAGCTTGTAATTTCCCCCACCAAAATGCTACCATGCTTCAATTCTTTCCACCTTTCTTTATAGAAGAACTTTTCTCACCCACTGCTAGAAAGAGGAGAGAGCCGTTAGGTATTAAGAAGGTGAAAAGCAGGCAGACAAAAGTACAAGTCTCCCACCTTTATCCACTCACATTTGGAAGGTGTTTGGAAAGATCTCAAGCCTTGGATTAGGATGATGGAGTTAAATGCGATTCTTTCTGTATTTTCATTTTCTCGAATTCTGTATTAAGTACGCATTACTTTTCTAAGTAGGAGAAACGCATTTTGTAAAAGTACATTTTATTTTAAAAAGTTACTCAGACTTAGTATTACGTACTCTTTCGTACCTTGTGAACAACAAACCATGTGACTATACTACCTAATAAAAAAATAAGTACATTAAAAGCTGGTCTTTGGGTTTCTACATGTGACACACGCTATTCTCTGAATAAATCTCCCATTTATACAGCCTTAAAACTCAAATAACGTATTTCGTGGAGATGACGAGGATGACAGGAAGTCACCCAGTGGTTGGCAAGGATATGCAATATCCGCCAACTCTGCTATTCTCTTGGGGAAGAGCTACGGGACGGAGCACCTAACTTTCTCTCCATCCCTTTCTTGCTTCTTCCCCAGGAACCGTATTTGTCCATAACCAGAATCCACCCTGGACCAATTTTCACTAGTGGGCAGGGTCACTTCACTCCTTGGTGTCCCTCAAAGGCTGCTGTCTCCCTGCACTCTGGGCTGTAAACCCTGGGGGCCGGGCCTCCCGGGGGCAGGCCTGGAGGTCCCCAATTCTCTCATCTGGCCATGTGCCTGGTGACTGGGTGAATAAGGCAGCCCCAAGCTTCTCTGCCTCCCTGCCTGAGCCGGGGGACAAATTGGGGTGGCCCTCTTGGAAGCTGGTGGGCCTTCAGGGGAAAGCGGATGGAGCAGAAACCATTAGCATGGTTTGGGGCCAGCCACACCCTTCTGTCTGTGGGGAGGGAGAGAAAGGCTGCTCCCTCCTTGGTAGTCAGTGCTCTGCGTATGGCTGTGACCCTGGCGGACCAGGGGCGGGCTTAGGATTCTGAATACCCCGACAGGCTCATAAAACTATTTTCCCTCAAGCCCTTCTGAGCTGTTAGAACAAAAGCAAGAACTATGGTGAGTCGGTGTTTGATGTTTCCCATACCTTGTCATTACCTTTTCAGACAAGCAGGACAAGCCAGGGCAGTGACGCCGGGGCGTGTGGAGTGAGCACCTCCGCGCAACCCTAGCAACTATGCACACCGTGGGCGTGACGTGGAGTCTGACCAGGACAGCACCAGGTTCACAGGAAGGGGAAAAACCAATTTGCCGGAACCAGATTGTGCAGCACACAGAGCTCACTGCGGTAGAAATCTTACCCACCCAACAGAGCTCCGTGGAGTCAGAGTGGCAGTTCTGTAGCTCTGTGGCTGTCGGTCCCGACTGTCTGTGACCTGAACATTAACTGTTCTGGGTGGGCCTCTGTGTTATTTTAAAGGTTCCCTACATGATCCTAATGACACAGAGGTGGGGAACCTGTGGCCTTGGGGCCACATGTGGCCTTCTGGATCCTTGAATGCCCCCTTTTGATTGAATCCAATTTTATAGAACAAGTGCTTTTAATAAAGGGATCTGGCCTGTGAAGTTTGGATTCGGTTGAGGGGCCTCACGTGGGGATCTGGAGGGCCACATGTGACTTTGAGGCTGCGGGTCCCCTAACCCGACAGGGATGGAGCCCTGCCACAGTTAAACGGTGTCAGTATGTATTAACCACAAATCCCCGGACCATGTTGCAGGGCTGGAAGGGTTAACTCATCTGAGGGATCACACCGAGATTTCTGGACCGCCCAACTCCAGAGTGGGTGGCGGAGTTAGATCAAAAGGCAGATTATTATCCCGTAGAGTGGCGGTTCTCAAACTTGAGTGTGCGACGGAACCCCCTGAAGGTCTGGCTAAAACCCAGATTGCTGGCTGGGCCCCACCCTCCGAGTTTCTGATTCCTTAGTTCAGGGGTGGGATCCCCAGCTTGTCTAAGAAGGTCCAGGTGATGTTGGTTCTGCTGGTTTGGGGACCCACTTTGGGAACCACTGTCATTGAGGACACGGGTCTTGGCTCTGAGAGGCATTGCCGGGGCAGTGGAAGGGGCAAGAATCTGGGAGGTGGCAGAACCCTGGGCTCCGGTCCCGGCTTTTCTGCGGCTCAGGTGCGTGCAGTGTAGAGTGTAGAGCCACGTGACCTCTCAATCCCAGCGCCGTCATCTGTAATCTGGGGTAACATCAGCGGCGTTGCCTGTCCCCGAGCACTGAGCAGAATAATCAGTAGTAACACGCTCACTGGGCTCTTGTTATGTACCGAGCATTTTACATGCATGATTTCAATTAATCTTCTCTTCCTTTCTAGGAGGTAGGTCCTGCTATTCTTATTTTACAGACTCAGAAACTGAAGTTTAGGAAGGTACAGTTCTCGTTCAGAGCAGTCTTTGTATCAGAAGGAGTTCTGGCTGACCCCGGAGCCCAAGTTCTCGACTGCTGCGCCGTCCCTGACTCTTGGTGGGAGCACCCCATGGACACTCAGTCTTGCCAACCGAGCTTTAGCTGTGGTTTTTCTGCATGGCAGTTGGGACTTCCTGTGAAGGATACCTGGAGGGGGAAACCCTGTGCAAGAGTGAGCAAACTCCAGTTTGCTCACTGGGCAGGTCTGGGCAGATTGGAAGGCACCAAAGGATAACACAACACAGCACATCAATGACTCAGTTACTCTTAGAGTGGGCCTTTGTGATAAGATAGAGGCCTTCATTAGGGAGGAAAAAGCTGCAGAGCAAACAGCCAGGCAAGAAGACCAGAAGGCTCTTTCACAGCCTGGCCTAAGCCCAGGAGAGCTGCTTCTCAGAAGACCTGGTACCAGATCACAAACTCTGCAGCTGATTTATTAATAAAGTGAGTGTTGCCATCTTGGGGAAAGGGCATCTTTGAAGAAAGGGGCAAAAAAAAAAAATGCTCCTGTGAGGGGACAAAGACAAGCCACCAAGGAGGCAGATCAGACATGAAGAGCTCGGGAGTGACTCAGAGCGCACAGACACACGGAGCCTGTAATCAAAGCTCTGCTCCTCAAGCCCAGAAGCCCCTGAGAGACAGGGGCTTCTTTTGGTCTCTGTGAACAAGATCCTATGGTCAGGGGTGGGCGGAACAGGTGACCACTTAAGTCCATTTCAGCTCTTAGTTGTAATCTTTGTCTATGAGTTGGATTCGTGCCTCATTGGTCTACCAGATTGATTTCCCGGGATCAGCAAACATTAGGATACAAATACAGCGAATGAAAAAGAAAACTTAACTATCAGAAAGAAGTTGACAAAATGTTATGCCAAAGTTCACTAGGAAAAAAAAATGTTGTTGTAACTATTATACATGAGTAGGGATGATATAAAACACACTACTTTATTAAAAATGGGGTTATTGCGAGGTGTCAGGCAAGACAGTGGATATCTGAAAAAGTGCTTTGAAAACTGGAGTAGTTCTTAATTAGAATAAAGGTATACACAGCAGTTGGGATGATTTTCTGGATAAGGTATGTGAAAGTTAATAATTGCAATGACTACCATAGGAGAGTTTCATATGATAGAGAAAAAGAACTCATGTTCTTTTTCTAGGAGGTAAAATACTCAGCTGACTGAGATGATGGAAGGTCTTATGGGGCCACATGAATGGGCAGAAAAATAGAAGATGACCTTCAATGCAGACAAAACCGTCATGTGTTCAGGGAAAAGTAACCCAAACCAAGACACACAGTGGTTGGCTCTGACCTAATGGATATAAACCAGAGGAGAAATTCAGTCTTTGCAGCCTGTTTCGCACCTGTGATGCTAGTTTGGTCAAGATAGCCAAAAAAATATTTAAAATAACTCTAGATTCTTAGAACAAATGAGCCACAGAGGACATGCCATCTATTGATCACTTTAATTTTATAACTGAGAAAACTGAGGCCCAGAGAGCTAAGTGGCTTTCCCAAGGTCCTATAACTACTTCTAGAATGGATTGTACACAAGAGAGAAAACATTAGTCTACCTTTCATGAAACTAATGTACCTGATAAAGGCCACCTTAGAGTGTGGGGAATTTCCAGAACCTTCTTAGGCTGATGAGGTGGAAGGGTGCAGAATTTCTCATTGCATTGCTGTAAAAGACACATCACTGAGACGGATAGATAGATAGATAGCTCACAACTAGCAAGATTTTCCAAATAGTCTTATATAAATGATTCCTAATAAATTACACAGACAGGATTTGACAGTGGAATCACAAATGAGTTTAGTACAGGCATAATGATGACAGCCCAAACATCTGTTGGTTTTGGAAGTAAGTCTTCCTGTTTTAGAACTGGCACTGAATCATCAGGAGATGGGGCTTGATAAACTTCAGAGGATTTTCAGATCTCCAATGGAAGATCTGACTCCTCCGGCCTTGTGTTAATTAGAAACGACGGACATTGGAGCTGTGACTCTCTCCAGTTTAATGTGCACTGATTCCTCGCTTGACAACACACTGCAGAGAGCAGAGAAGACTGAGGACAGACAGCTTTGGTGCTCTTAGTGGGTGATGGGTGAGGACTGCCCTCTCTGGCTGTCTTCCCAGCTCCTTGTCCCCAGGACTTGTCCGAGCCTGCCAAGCTGACTTCTATGCCCAGGAATGCCTGACCCAAGCGCTTCACCTGCTCCCTGCAACTTACTGCGTCCGCTTTGAACTCCATCCATTCTGGTTCCGATCTGTAATCCACGCCCCACCTCTGCCCCGAGTTAAACATTTGATCTTTGTCTTTTCTGTCCAGCCGAGTCCTAAATGTCAGTAATTTCCTACAATCTTTTTTTTAAATTGGTCACTTTCATGTCCCATTTAAAACCTTTTCCATGGTTCATGTGGAATCTCATGGAATTCTCTGTAAATATGACTTTTAAAGATCTTCGGTCTGCATCAGGACTATTTAAGAACACAGTCTGTGTCAGAAGCCAGATATGAAAACTGTGGTGCATACAAGGTTCCCATTGTGAGTAAATACCCTTCCGTCTATAAACATACCCAGCTCCAAAAGTGCAAAGAGCAGAGATGAAGGAGGCAGGCGAGTGGGGTAAATGACTGTTTTTGATTGGAAGATGAGGTGTGACACTGGAAAAGTAGGGTACACGTGACAGAGAATCTTCTTCCTCTGGTAGGAGGAAAACACAGAAACCCTCCACGCCAGGGCAGTGAGAGCGTGCAGTGATAGAGATTTTTTCCTCTAGGGCAAACCAGGCATAGTAATAGTCTTTTATTTGGACTTTAAAGGTAAAGTAGACGGAAAGCCCTATGTGTCTTGTTGCATGGTAGAGCCACTGAAAGTTCTAGAAAAGCAAGAAGCCTGGGA